ATGTAATAACAAACTTAATTTACCTCAATGTTTGAATTGATATGGCGGCGCACAACGGCCACCCACGTTTTCTCGTTAGGATCGATGGCACTAGCATATGTCATGTTGTTAAATGTGGCCTGCTCCGAATTTTCCACCCAAGCCTTCGCTGGCTTCTCGTACAATATTGACACGCAAACACTATTGGTGATGATTTGCGAGTGAAACCGCTTCTGCTTGCCGATTTGTTTGATTTTATCCATGTCGAAAACCAAATTCCACAATTCATCTCGATGGCCGTACAAGTAATAGTCCAGTGTGTATTTGTTCATTCGATTGGTCAGCGGATTGCGAGAACTGGGCACCACTCCTAGTACAGTGTTCGCCAAATAATACATATCTGTCATATCCAATCGAACGTTTTTCAGTTGGAATCGGCATAACGGGACAAGTGCGAAATTGTTCACTTTTGGCGGTCGATTGTTCGTTATCAATCCATCGCGACGGAATGCATGCCATTGTTGTGAATATTGATGAAACACTTCGATTTGGCGTTGCATTTGACCGAACATCCACAGTGATTGGAACCAATTGTCCTTAACGAACTCATTGACAGTGACCGGAACCAATTGTTCATTATGAACTTTTTGACACTGCCAACCGATTCTTTCCAGTTCATACAATAAAATGTTCATCTTATTTGTTCTCTCTACATCACCATGTGTCAGATCTTTGTTACTAGTGGCGTAAACTTTTGCGTTTCGTATATCGATGCCGTCAAATTTTGATCCATTGTATTGATGACCATTGATATTCATGTTATAATACCAGCGTTTCATTTGAAAAAACGATTCAACATGTTCTGAACAATGAGTGTTGAGATTGGTCTGATTATTTCGAATGTGATCTTGGTAGAAATAATTAAAACCATTTCCCAGGCATTCTTTATCGGGCCATTCAAAATTCTCTACACCGAAGTGTGCCTCGACAATGTTACGAAAAGCTGGCGGCATTAGTTCCTCTCTGTCGACTTTATCGGCTAAAACACCGTTAAAGCACTCGATGAAAAATGTTTTACCGTTTTGTAGAAAAAATTGTCGGTTCTCATCATCGATGGCTTCTTGAATTTTGTACAACGCCAACAATGATGCCAGTGACGAAATCAGTGTCATTTTGTAGCTTCGATGATCCAAAAACTGAATCACTCTGTCGCGATATTCTTCCCGTATGATTGACTTGACGCCTTGTTTTATGACTACAAGGTTCTTAATGTCGTCTTTCCTTTCGGGTGGACTGTATAAATGAAACGAAAACAAAGAAAAACATACACACTTATTTAAAAAAAACTGGTCACAAAACAATATCGCGAAATTGCATCGAAAATCCAATGAAAAAAAAAACACAGAATAAATATTAAGAAAAACAATGCTTACATATTAAATTGATCCTCTCTTGATCTTGTTCTACTCATGGTTTAATCAATCAATCACAATTTCTGGTGCTTTTCCAAATATTATGGGATAGTTATCACTATTTTCGGTTGCAATCAATTCGCATCAATTTCACAATTCAAATTGTAATTTTTAATGTGTTTTTGTTGGTTCTGCTTGTAAACTGCCTGACGAAATTCAATTATTATTATCAATTTAAAGTTATTTTTCTGACTTGATGATGAGATTTAATGGTATTTCAAATAGCTTCACAGCGCGAACGGTAACTTTGAACTAAAATGAATGCAGAAATGCACCGATATTTATAGCAAATTATTGCTGTATTGCAAAAAGTCAAGCCTCGAAAACTAAAATGACTGGAATTAAACGATTCTATTGATACATCAATATATGCAAACAAATTTACAATATTTTCATTCAACAACTCAATCACTCCACTTTGATTTGCCACAAAACTCTGCCGAAAATGCATTTTTAAACAGGAACATAACAAATCACAAACGAGAGAATTGTCGAAATGGTTTTTTTTTTTTCAAATGTGTTTCGATGATTTGGAATATTAACAGTAATACTTTATAAATGTTCTGTCGTTTGAATTGAAAACAGAAACAGACACAAAATATTTCCGCAAATATATCCATCACATTTCGTGAACACACGATATCGTTGTATCAAAACACTGACGAAGCACATCACAAAAACAAGCGGTGATCGGGAATACTGTTGTACGGTCAAAATCCTACAGTTTGTTGCATTCGCACTAGTATTTCGTTTACAGAAAAACAAAAACACAAACACATATTATATTGTCTCTCTCACATGTTTCGTTTCTTTGTGCTGTGACATAAAAAAGCCACTGATACAATATTAGCACTAAAATCCATTTGTCTTATTTTATCATGTTGAAAACTGAAATCGGTTGTCATTTTGAATTTAATTTGTTTGAAAAAAACAACAACAACGCACATTTTCTGACCGCTAATACGAACAAAGAAACTCGTGCGTATGAAAATTCGATTGGAAATCATGGATATACTCTACATTCCGTTTGACACTAAAATGGCCACATAATTATCCTTGTGAATGTGTGACTCTCTCTGTTGTGCATTTGTGTGTGTACAAACTTTCAATTGTTTATATGCGCGACCGGTTCAATATTGCATGTTTCAAACCGAAACACCGAATGAATTTGTTTATATCACTTTCCCTCACACACACACAAACTCTGTATTCGTAGCGATATTTGACTTTTTGAATTTGTCCAACTGAATTTTAGGCGACGGAGAATGCAATCGTATGAGATTGTTGTTGTTGTATACCAAAAATCATCTCTTTCTAAACTGGCGGCACTTCTCAGTATAGTTTTGGCCGCAATAAAAAAATCAATCCCGTTAAATATTGAATAGAGTGATTTGTTTGTTTGTGATACATGTTAAATCGAAGCACAAAAAATTCCTTTGCTACATTAATTCTGTTGAAAACTGAAAAATGTGAATACAAACTTTGTGTGTACTCCAGTTGAAAAGAAAACAAATCTGAATGGCAACTCATTATATTTCGTTGTGATTTTGTGTATTGAAACATTTTTGTCAATACACTGTAATTTTGTCGATGTGTGATGTTCAATATTCAACTGATACTTGCCTTCTTAATGATGCTGGACATATTTATGAATATAAGTGATACAAAATGCAATCAAACAGCGAAAACAGTCGATAGAATTGTTGATATAAATTTTATGTAAACAAAATCGAACATTTGAATCTCATGTTACACATACTTTCATTCTTTAAACGAGTAAGAGTCAGCAAAACGCGCATTGTATCAATACCGTTGTATGCTTTGAGATTCAAACAAAAACGGCAACACATTTGAGTGAGTTTGAATGAGACTGAAAGACTAATAGGAGAAATAAATTGTAAAATGTTAACGTAATAAATGAACAATTTTATTGGAAACTATGCATATAATCAACTTTCCATTGACACGAAAATTACCACCGAAATGGGTGAAAACGTTACATTTTTCAACGTTAAAATAGATAAAAAACGTTACATTTTTGATTCCTGAGCCTAATTCACAAAAACAATATTTTTCCTTTTGGAAAATTATTTTCCTCGAAAATTAGGTTTTTGTAATCCATATTCATCGTATATCTAGTTCAAATTGACGCTTCAAATCGTTTATGTCCACTGTCTGTTGGATGTACTTTATAATGGACAAGTATAGTAACATGGCGTCGTTCAAATAAATTTAAAAATCTGTTCATTCATGTCGACACCATATAGCTCGCCAGTAGGGATTTCATTGCTTTGGACAGTAATGTACCAAATTCCAGTGTATTTTCATGAATTCTCGATATAAATCACGTTAAAATCAGTGATGGTTTTTTCCTATATGAATAGCGCTAGCTATTCGCAGCGCCTGTACAGCATTGCTGCCCAGATGCTGAATCGTAGCGGTTGCCGCACGCGCAACACACTTCGTTTGTACCACAAAGAGCATATACGTTCGCGTTCGTTCTCTGTTCGACATGCGTTTGTATACTGACTATGGTATTAGTGTATCATACTCTGTGAGCTCACTGGTTACTTAGACTATATGACAATATGTTGTGTGGTACAAAACGCGTGCGGCAACCGCTTCGATTCAGCATCTGGGCAGCAATGCTGTTCAGACGCTGCGAATAGCTAGCGCTATTCAGATAGGAAAAAACCATCACTGAATTAAATTGCACAGTTTGTAGTTCTTGAGATACTTTTTCGAAAAATATAGACAAAATATTCGATTACCTTGTAAATAAGAGCGGTGGAAGTTAAAATAGTTTAAATTTGTTTAGTAAAATTACTATAGATAATTTAAGATAGGAAGAATATTTGTTCAGGATTTGAAATGAGAATTTAATATTTATAACAGCTCAACTTTACCCAACAAACTCTTTTGCATAATTGACTTTTACTCGTACTTCATAAAAATGGCCATTAAAGTAGTAAGTAATAATAAAATAGCCGAATGTCAAAACTTTCCCTAAAAGATTTAACTTGAAATAGTACGATTATTCCAATTTAAAAAAAATCTTCTATTCATCGACAGGTACCTACACGTCGTTCAAAACGTAATAAACGCCAAGGAAGTCCCGATGCATCAACAGGTATCCATTTCATAATATTATATAAGACAAAATCAAAATAATTACATTTTGAATTCTTATCTCTCTAAACTATGTATGTAGCACCGACAGAAGACTTGCCCTTGTCCCGTCAAATACGTCGAAAATCTACTTCTGACGTATCATTTTTCACTGCGGAAGAAGAAGTCCACAAAGTTGACGTATCCACTTCAACGGATGGCCTGAAACTTGGCAAAACGGAACAAGGGGTAATTAATTTTTAATATTATTCTCTTTAACATTGCCATTTCCAATATGAATAAACACTAATCCCACTATTCCATCAATCCGTCATTTCATTGTCAAATATAATGTCAAATTTTGCCGCTATTCACTTTGTTGAAAACTTATCTATCGACACTGGAGTATGACATTTTGTTATTGATAATTCAAATTTTTTTTTTTTCATCAATAATATTTTGAGAAAGTGATTCTATTACTTTTCCGCACACACCTAGTGTGTAAGGTAAACTATTGGAATCGATCGAAAAATTAAAACCGTTTTTTCGATGTCCGAATGTATGTTTTCACTGTGATTTAATTTCTACAACTACATATTTTGGGAAAAAAATCCTATCAATTTCGAATCAACAAAACGCAATAAATGTTTGTTTGAAGTAATTTAATCACCATAAAGACTTGTGAATCTTATTTTCTTGCCAAAATACACAATATCAGCAAATTTGAAGAAATTTCAATACAATTTGGGAGTACCCCTCATACAAAATTTTCTATTTTTTGCTCAAAAACGAAAATTTTGTATGGAAGGTACCCCTAAGTTGTATTGACATTTTTCCAAACTTTCAGAATTTTAGCTTTTTGTCAACAAAAAAAAAAATACTCTGTGTAAAGTTTCACGTCGTTACGATATCATACAGGCATTGATTCCATACTAAAATTCCCATTTTAAGTAATTTTTGTATAAAAAGTGTGTCAAAAATTATTTATATTGCATAACTAATGTCAGATTCAGTTTTTGCGTAAGTTCAAATTTAAGTAAAAGATATGTAATGAATGCATGTTGTGGATCACAGTGCGGAAAAGTTCATTTTACGGATGTAAGACATTTTTGCTCTTTTTTTCAGGTCAAGTGTTTTGCGGGAGCATGCTTCTTTATTGCAGACAACAACATCCAAAACATCCAAATTACAGAAGGCGACAATGGATCTCGCTGGGCTGACAGGCCTTTCATCCTCGGCATGACATGCACACTAGTCCTTCCATTTATGATAGTGTGGTGTGTTCTGATTTGCAAGTTGTTCCCAACACCAAAATAACATATGTATGGAAAGTCTTTGGAATAAATTCGGACGTTGCCATTTGAACAATAAACACACAATATTAAATTCGTTTTTATTGGTATAAACCTTTATTCATAGGCATATTCACATTCAGCACTTACCCTTTATCGAAGTTCGGGTTGTCGACGTCTCTAGCCATATATAGTAGTGCAATAACATTATCAATGCAAAAGAAACAACTTGCACTTGATTCGTGGTTTGATTTGGCGATGAATGTTTCACTGTCCAAATTCAATTGTTTTGAATAGAAAAAAATATCACTTCATTTCACAATCAATTTATTAGGTATATATCATTTCAAGTATTTCAATTATGATCGTCTCATGCTTAACATCGTATTAATTTCCCAAATAATGATGCGAATTCGATCAATTATTTCACGAAGTTGCTTATTTTTCAACGTAACCGTTTCGGTAAGGTCACGATTTTCTGCCAATAACTTTTTGTATTCTTCCGAATGAATTGGGTCTGGTTTTGTGTCTGCTTCGTCCTTAAATGGCAACAAACTTTCGATGTTTGTGTGTTCAATACCTGTGGCAACAAAAAAAAAAAAACAAGAAAAATTAGTTCTAAAATGTTCGATGTGATAAGAATGGTTGAGAGATGATAAACCTTCTATTCGCTCACCCAATTGGCAAGTGTCGTTGCATTTATCGAAAATTAAACGTAAACGCCGAAATAATAAACGAATCGTTCGGAATTGCTCGGTGACCTTTTTGTCGGTAGTGGTTGGTGCTAAGAGAAGAGATATTTTTCAATAATTTTGTATCGTGCGATCTTATGAAGTATTAATTTCAATCACATACCATTCGTTCCGATGGGTGGTTGAACACTTTTTAACGTACTAAAGACCTCTTGGAATCGACTTACGATATCTTGCACGGTTTCTTGCCCATATCGACACAAGTAGACTACATTTAAATTTTGATGTTGTTGCTGTTGTTGTTGTTGTTGTTGCTGCTGCTGATGCTGAGGATGTTGTTGTTGTTGTTGCTGCTGCTGTGGTGGTGGCGGCTATAAAATTAAACAATGTACTCCATATAAGTAAAATCTCACAATGACTAGCATTTTTTGACTTGTCATACCTGATTTTGTTGTTGATTTACTTGACCAACTGGACCCATTTGATTGTTTGCATTGATCGGATTATTTTGTTGAGTTGGATTCAATTGAGGTCCCGGAACACCTGATTGTGGCTGCTGTTGTGGCGGCGTTTGAGGTGGCATTTTTGGTAGCATTTGTTGTTGATTTTGGTTCATTTGCGGCATCGATTGCAAATGCTAAAACACAAAACATAAATTGATTAATGCCAAAAATCGTATTCAATTTAATCAAAACTACCTGCTGAGGTGGCATATGAAATTGTTGTTGGTCGGGCGTTGGACGATCATCTGTCATCATCTGCAAGGCAATTTATCATAATTAATTCTAGAGAATTAACAAAGACTCTTGTCTAAATTATACTATCAACAGATCACTCACCGGTTGCTGGTTTGGATGATGTGGTTGTTGATTCATCATTTGCATTTGTTGTTGTAAATGATGTTGTTGCTGGTTGTGGAGAGAAAACGAAAATATATTTCAAATTTGTTGAATGAACCACTTCGATACAAATTGTATTAATCACTCTGATTGTTTTTAACTTACAAACTGATTTTGTGGTGGTGTATTCTGTGGCTGTTGCAAATGCATCGGTGGAACGTGACCTGATCCTTGTTGCATGTTTACGTGACCACCCATACCTGCAATTAGATTAAATGTTTCAATGAGCAACTGTGGTTTTTCTTCTAAATTTTCATGAATTTGACTGTTGCTGTTTTACCTGGATTTGGCATGGCTTGTTGATTGTAATTCATTGGTTGTTGTCCCATCATTGGGTTCACCATTTGATTTGGCATCGATTGCATCATTGGACCCATCACACCGGGCATATTTCGCATTTGCGGATTAACCATTTGATTTGGCATTTGATTTGGATAGTTACCCTGATGATTTGGGCTAGAGAAGCCCGGATAATGGCCTGACATTTTAATATCGTTGTGTATGTTTTCAAATTAATTTAAAACTTAATCGAATTTCGTTTAACAAAAACAAAAAAATTCAATGATGTCCATAATATGCATTCGTTTCAAACAAAATGAGCTTCGAATAAATAAGAAATGTCAATCATTTGAGTGTTGACAACTTTATCCGCTAGAGGTCACTTCTCATCGTCGTTTGTTTCGTCGGGGAAAAAAAGTGACAACTATTTGTGCAAAGCCATATGTACAGTACACACATATATGTGCTACAACTAACAACATTTAACATATTTAGCGTTGCTTTGTTTTAATCAGCATGGAGCTATTATTGCAAGCGATTGATGAGGTGATTATTCCCATTCAATTCATATTTGTCGGCTTGTGTGTCATTCAATTAATTTTTATTTATCTGTAGAAACTATCACGTGCAGACTGTGAACGAAACAAATGGTTACAGTATAAAGAAGAACATAATCAGGCTGCTGATAATTTACGTGAATTCCAAAAGTCACTTTGTATAAATGTTCTGGTACCGATTGGCGCAAAAGCATTTATGCCCGGCCAATTATATCACACAAATGAAATTTTTGTCGGTACATATCGCGGCTTATTTATTAAATGTTCCACCGATAAAGCATTAGCCGTGTGCCAACATCGTTTGGATGAAGCAGACAAAAAACTTGCCTCTTTCAATATTGAATATCAAATGTATAAGTAAGTTGAAATTTGTTTTTTTATAAATATCGATCGTAAAGGCTATTTCTATATTTGCCGGCTTGTTTAGAGACCGTTTGGATATGAATAAAAGTGCCTTCGGTACTCCAAATGAGGGTGGTGAAATTATCGAAGAATACAACGAAGAAGAAGAGATGAAATGGCGGGAGCAACATAGAATTCGGGTGCGTGAACACAAAAAAGTCGAAGCAGAGGAACGACGGCGACAACACATGGAAAGTGACATCGATATTGATGCGATTTTTGAACAAGCTGAACTTATGGAAGAATTAGAAAGAGAATTGGCACAGTTAAATGTTAGCGATGATGAACAATTGCAGCGACATCTCGACAACACGAACGATGAACAGGCCGAAAATGTTGATTTAGCTCGAGATGGTGAAAACGAGGATAATGCGAATGATGGTGATGATCACGATGGTGATGAGTCGAAAGAATTTTTAACCATAAAAAAACAGGCCATTGGTCTTGATGTCAAAGATAAGATCAAATTTTATGAAATACATTTGCAAAAACTTCAAGTTTATTTCAAAACCACACAATGTACACTTCATAATTTCGATGAGTTTGCCGATAAACGTGTCACAGAAGAAAATTTACAAAATGCCATCGACGAATTGCAGGAGACTTTGGACGAAAATGTCATCGAAACTGAATCGAAAACAAGCAAAGACAATCAAATGGAGGAACAGACCAATGAACCGCGAAAGTATCTTTCGCGTACCGATTATGATCGAATTGAACAGGAATATATTGATCAAAATAGAAGTAGAAGTGAACTATTAGTTTTCTATAAAAGTCAATTGCGTAATATGATGAAGTTGATTGGTGCAGCCACTCTTGATGACCATTCAAAAAATGAAAAACGAATTTTATACGAATTTGTAAGTGATCGCATTTCTAGTCTGCGTATTGAAATTCAACAAGAAAAACAAATAAAATTTGAAGAAGATTTTGTCGATGACGAAGATATTGATCAAAATGCACAACAACGAACCTTTGATCCGAATGACAGTGGTTTCGATATCGATGATAATAAAGATGATGATCCGACGGGAAAACGTAAAATTAGCTTCGCATCAGAACCGCTTACTGTTACATTTTGTGAGGATGAAGAACCATTTCAAGTAAGATCATTTTTCCATTCATTTGAGAAAAAAATTGATTCAATACCTTTTATCGTTTATTTTTTCAGTTGTCAAAATATGCACAAGAAAATATTGAAAGATTAATGGATGAATCGTTTCAATTCTTCAACAGTCCAACAAGTTCAATGTCCAACAGTCCCGGCAGTCCAGCCGGCAGTCTTTGCAGTGATGACGAAGATAACACAGCCCGTGAAGATGAAATTGAATATGTAAGGACGATTTTATTTATGAAATATTATTATTCATATTATTATTGTTTGTGACAGCAACCTGTAATTAGTACAAATGACTGTGATCTATCTTCAATGTTACAAATCAACGAAAGTACAATGAATAAAGTAAAAAAATTGATGGATAGTGCGATGGAAGCAAAATTAAATCCAAAGCCATTGATATTGGAATTTAATAATTCGTCGAACGAACCCACAGCTGTAGTTAGTGATGATAACAACATCACTAGTCCATTGGATATTTACAAACAATTTGGTATGTAAACGTGCTATAATTGTATCAACCATATTGACTCCGAAATGTAAATCGGGATGTTTGATGGTGTTTTTTTTCGTTATAGGAGCATGTATTGAAGCATCTACACATCCAGTTCTGTCACCACGATCTCTTGGCCAGATGAACACAGCATCGTCTCCATTGAATATGTCACAAATTCAAAATAAACTCAAAGAAGGTGATCAAGATGCCACGATTTCATTAGAAATTCCAAACATTGATGCAAAACCACAGAAGTCAATTTTGAAGAACAGCATTTTAGTGAAAAATGAACTTAGAGCACCAGTCAATAGTGATGATGTTGAAGGTAAAATAACAAAGTGATTTTCATGTTTAATTAAGAATACATAGCAAGTATGTTTTTTTTTTTTAAATTTAGATCCATCAAATACTAATGATCAACCTAGAAATGATGACTTTCCCGTATTTACGCAGGTTTGTATGAAGAATTCAAAATCTGATCAATATTCATATAATTACGTATACAAATTGTATCTGAATCATTCACATAGGTTTTGGGAGACATTGTTGAACGCAGTGATCCCGTTGAATCGACACTAACCTTGCCTGACGACACTCAATCTCGCACCGAAAATCAACCAAGTGGTGATAATCCATCGGGTCGCCGTGTAGATAATCAACCAAAGAAGAAACCGATGAGTAAATTCAAAAAGAGTCGCATGCGATGAATTTGTCTTGGTCGCAACTATTTTCTACCGCATAAAAATATCCATTTAACATCATTTTTTTTTTCAACATATCTTTTTGAAATTACTAACTTCTTCATCTCAACGCCTTTTTATACGCATCAAATACACGTGAAATGGTTTCTAAAATCAATATAGAATTTTAAAAAAAATGTAGGGAAAAAGAAAAAAAGAACATTTAAAAAAATAACAAATTAAACGCAAAAGTCAGAATATACCTCTATATATGTTACATAAAAGAAAGCGAATAAAATACGCAAAATAAAAAAAAAAATAAAAAATAAAAAAATATTTTAAACGGAAACAGTTGTTTTGAAATTTTTTCGATGATGCATTGTACTTATTCTGATTTATTACAGATGGCAGTACCTATATTATTTTCATCTTCACTCTTCTATTTCATCGTGCATGACAGATGACAATCAGAGTATTTATTTTTATTCGTGAAATGGAAAAATGAGGCTTTTGTCATTAACAGACAAATATTTCACATTCAAATTCGATGGTATTCATAAACTCGCGTAAAAGGGTAAAATTTCGTAATAATAGTTTTGAAGTATACATTTAAAAGAAAAAATGTTGACAACCGAAGGATCAAAACATCCAGTAGAAACTGTGAAAATAAAACAGGAAAAACTAACACCACCACCATCGCCAAATGCTAATTCATCAGCAGCAACAGCAGCTGGTTTTAGCATTACCGATGATTTGTTAGACAACATTTTGGGCGAACGTAAACCCGTTGCCGAACCAGTTAAATCATCTAATGAGATTTTGGCCGATTTATTTAAAGTGTTTAATGCAGCACCACCGACGATAGATGATGGCCATTCCACAAAAGATTCCAAGAAAAAGAAACATAAAAAAGAAAAAAAGGTGAAAAAACATAAGAAACGGAGTCAGGACAATAGTGAAACAAAATCATCGGACGATGAAGTGAATAAAATAAAAAAGCACAAAACGAAAAAGTCGAAAAAACGTGAAGCTGACGACAGTGATACAGATAGCAAAAGTCAGAAACGACATAAGAAATCAAAAGATCGTGATATTAAAAACGAGAAAATCGATGTGGTTGTCAAGAAAGAAAGAAACAATGACCAAAAGCATGCTTCTACAGTTGATGGTGGTGAATCGAAGACGCATAATGATACAACGTCAAATAAATCACGATCGACGGATGAGAAAAATCCACAATTAAATATACAAGTGTCAGTGACAAAAGATACCGATAAACGGAAAATTGTGATAAAAAGCCTTGTAGATAGCACAGTCTTTCAAGACACACTGAAGGAAGTTGAAACAAAGCAAAAGGAAAAAGAACGGGAAAAATTGAAAGAGAAAGAGAAACAGAAAGACAGAGAAAAGGAGAGGGCCAAAGAAAAGGACAAAGAACGCAACAAAGAAAAAGAACGACGAAAGCAATCATCACGACGATCAAAGTCACATGAAAAAGAACATCGTCGAGCTCGATCACATTCATCGAGCTTATCACTATCGGACGAGGAAACATATTTGCGGGAACGTGAACGTGAACGTGAACGAAACAAGGTGAGTGGACGTCGCATACAAATTGACATCTATTTTATGCTGGTAAAATAAACATGAACGATCATAATGATGAGCGTATTTTTTTTCTCTTAAAATAAGGATCGAGATCGTGACAGAGAACGAGATGATTTTTACGGTGATTATCGACGAGATACCGATCGCGACAGAGATTTTGAACGTCGAAAACATCGAAGTCGAAATGATTTCTATCGTCATGACCATGACCGAAGGTAAGATACATGTTTTTTTTTTTGAATTTTCAACATAAATCAAGTTAAAATTGGTCTATTACGTAATGTAGACGCTCAAGATCATCATCTCGTCATCGACGCGAACGAAGTGGCGATCGAATCGATAAAAAACGTTTGCTGGAAATTGCACGCAAAAATGCAATTACAATGTTGAAAAATGGCACATTACCAGGTGCAAACAATTTGGATCCAGAAGCCAAAGAACGTGCCTTAACTAAAATGCGATATGGTGGTATGTACACTGTTGCTCTAATCATGTGAATCAAAAATAAGGAATTAATGCGTTTATTATTATTTTTTTCTCTGGTCTCTAGGTAAGACTGTAGATGAATTAACGGAGTTTTGTAAGAAACTCTCGAAAGGTGAAGCAAATGGGTACTTATCTATTATTTAATAATTGTTATTGATTCTTTTTCGATTATTTGTCGATTATTTTTAATTAATTCTATTATTTTCCTTTGTGATTCACCCTTAGCTACTTATCAAATATATCTGGTGATAGTGATATTGATGCTGATCTCGAAAAACCATTTCATCATCCATTTGTCATCAAAGATCGTGGTCCAATTGTGATGAACATAAAGGTAAATGTTTTATAAAGAAAAGAATCGCGCTGGTTATTCAATCGTCCATTGAGTATTGTGTAATAGGGTCAAGGACGTGAAAACCGCAAAACAAAAACTTTTCTTTACATTTCAATTATCCAATAACAATTATTTTGGTTTTACTAAAGAATTCAACGCCAATACCACCAAAAACTGCCGAACAAACAAAAGCAATACTTCAACAATTTCCCGTATCATCTGGTCAACATCATCGTCTCAATGAAAGTGAATGGGTTCCGGTTGTTCCAGCGAAACCAACAAAAGGTAAAGAGACAGAACCGACGACAAATCCGACGTCAAAATTAACAACGGAAACAACGAATACCACAAAATCAACAACGGTTATCACAACACAGCCTGCTAAGAATGATGATGTTCCGCAGCCAACTGCAGGTAGCTTAATTAAATACATCAAGATTAATAGAGTTTGTTTTAAATGAAACGTTGAATTTTTTTCTTCAAATTTTCAATTCTTAAGATTATGGATACCAAAACAATATGTTTGCACAGGCACCAGAGCCAGTCCCAAGCTTCGCAATGCCAACAAATATTGAATCAGTACCGCTACCAACAGAACACACACCCGGCGACAATATATTTGCAGACCGAGGTACTATGAAAGATTTGGATGTGACGTCGATTGTCACATCTCGGCTTAATGCATTGCGAAAATTACAAGAAAATCCATTGGACTCGGAAGCGATAAAACTAATGTACAAAACACAAAAGGATGTAAGAAACGAATGACAGCTGGTTTTTTTTTTTTCAAAACAATTTCCAAATGTTCATTTTGTTTATTTTTTTATTACAGATGTCCGCCTGGGCAAGTTCAAAATTTGTTCCTGGTCAATTCACTGGCAGTACTGGTGCTAGCATTCTATCAACGAAAGAGCTAGCATCTGGCTTCCAAGCATGGGCCAAAAGAGTTAGTTCATTTGTTTTATTTCACATTTTCTCATAGACTACAAAAATAGAGCGCAAATGGAATCATCTGCATGCAATGTTCGATGCAAGAAATGAACTCACAATAGTTTGAATGTTTGCAACCGAAAACATTTGACCGGATGAACATTATGCATTTGGTTACATTTGCAACAGTAAACACATTTGATTGGTAAAATGTATCCGTTGACGATTCGTTTTATAGCAAAGTGTAAGTGAGTGATTGCTCATTTCACTTGTATAAATCGAATCGTTTTCAATGGATCTGAATCAATTGTTGTGATCATTTTCAGCACTGCAGTATGTTATGAGCTCACAGTTTATGAGTTTTTTTCAAATAAATTTTTTTTTACAATTCATACCCATGTTAAACTCAATAACTACCCAAATCACCTCGTGCATGAGTATGAACTGTAAAAAAATCCCAATCGATTTTTTTAGAACCCAAAACAAAAACAAAAAAAATTATTTCAATTCCATGAATAACACTGAATGCCAAACAAGTCAGTGTTTGCATTCATTGCTATTCATAATTTGCTTACTAAAGATGACAAAAAAAAAAAACACAAATCGATCGACGAAAATTAATGAGTCAGGAAGATTTTTGAGTGTTTGGGATAATTGATGAAATGCTTCAATAATAAAACTGCAATTGAGCGCAACATTTCATATTGCGGATATAAAAAAATTTCAATTATTCTTTCTAACTGAAAGTCTGAATTGCGCCAACTGCAGCTTTATTCGTGAGATGAGTGCTTATTTCATCGATTTATCCCAAAAATAAAAACAAAACAAAACAAACAAATGACTCTTCAAACAGATTTCCATACGCAAATTTTACACGATTTAAATGTGCTTGAACACCCGATTGAACTAAAATACATAAAAAAACAATCGCTATTGTGATGGAAGGGGCAGTAAGTATAAGTGGATAAAAAATCATAAAGCACATATTTAACATTTAAATGTTTAAAGAACTGATAAAAATTCACATATTTCGTAAATGTTAAAATGAGCACAAAAAAAAAATTATGAAATGAATGACTTTAGTCTTTGACACTCTAGTAGTTGGAATATGAAATTTATATATGATTTTCTTTGTTATTTTCCCCCTTCCACCATTGTTTTTGAACAAATTTAGGATCAATTGATCTCAACTACACCCGTTTCGGGTGGAATGGGCATGCATTTGCTACAGAAAATGGGTTGGAAACCTGGCGAAGGTTTGGGAAAAGAGAAAAACGGATCACTGCAGCCTCTACTACTGGAAGTGAAGCTAGATAAAAAGGGATTGGTCGCTGAAGAAGAGGTTCGATTATGCATTTTCTTTGTGTTAAAGAAGAATAAAAAACGTAAAATTGGTTTTATTTTTCTTTTATTATGATGACACAGAGTCCGCAAGTGCAGCGTCAACGGGCTCAACTCAACAAAAAGGCCAAAGCCACATCGATACAAATGGCCAAGCAAAATTTTGAAAGCAAACATCCTGTTTCGTTACTCGGCGAACTGAGTGCTAAACGCAAATTTGGAGCTCCACTCTATGAACTTGTCATGCAAGAAGGACCTTCACATCAAAGACAATTCCTGTATAGCGTACGTATACTACGCCATTACTACTCTCAAACATTTTTCCACTCGAATTTGATTTTGTTCATCTCTCTCCTTTTTTTTTTCAGGTAACAATCGGTGGTCAAATATATCAGCCTAATATAACGAGTCTAAATAAAAAAGAGGCAAAAGCATCGGCCGCTAAATATGCATTACAACGAATGGGATTTCTGTCTGATGTACCAATGCAACCTCAGCCACCGGCTCCTCAGCAACCTCAGCAACCTCAGCCACCGCAACCTGTTCAAAATAACATGAATTTTGCGCCACCCAGTGCATTTTAAGTTCATTTTTCTACAATTTTTTTATTAATTGTAAATCATTTAGAAAAAGATTATAAATAGACCTATTATCAAAATGAAAATGATCATAAATTTAATTTCATATAAAAAGTATTAAGTATTTCATAGTTTTAAAGCATCATATTAGGTAAAGTGTGTATACGTGAATTTGAAATAAAAGTTCGTTAATTTATCAGTATTCAAAATAAAGCTAACTATGTGTGAGTCTGTATGTGATGACTGTGTTGCCATATGATAACCTTAGCGCCGCCTGTTGGCCGATGTGACAAGTTGCGTATTTCGTCCATTAAGGTTGGTACTAGATATCAACAGTTTTTTTTTTCATTTCATAATGGGTTGTTGTTGTGTCGCGTCGTACGCATTATAAGCAGCAGTAATAAACATTTCTTCTGAAATAATTTGAGCGGTGAAAATTTATTAACTAAAAATAGAAATTGGCAAAAGGGATTAGTGTCATTTGATGTGAATTACATTTTTTAATTGAAGTATTCAGTTTTTGGCAAAGTTTCAAGTAAAAAATTCTGGATCGGAAAATTTCACCGCTAAAAACGGACGCGTCAGTCGTATAAGAGGTAATTGACGTGTGTCAGTGTGTGTGTATGTTTTTGTTTTCGATTATAATTTTAACCTTATTTCTTCGGTTCTCACACTCTCTCTATCTATCGCAATCATTACAATTTTATTTTTGTTGTAATTTTTTGCAAATTAATATAACTGATTTATGTGAATTAAATATGGACGTAAAAGTGATTTGGAAGACACTAGAAAACCGAATCGCTTATGCATTACATTAGAACTAATGACGAGTTTTCAACCAGTAATTTAGGTTACACGCCGCCAATTTTCAAGAATTTTGATTGGTTGATAGGCGATCGTGTTTTTCAAACTAGTTTTAAATTTATCAATAAATAACCGTATAAATGCATATTTCCAGATATTTGTAAGATGTATGATGTGTTTCAAGTTTTATTTGGAAAAATTATGACGGTCGATTTTTTTTTCTAATTTCAAAAAAAAAATATATTTTTTTTTTTCACTTTCATTAGAATCGGAAGCATAGAATTTTATTAAGATAAAAGAGTGAGAGAAAAAAAACTGAAATATGGATCGGCGTAAGAGAGGAACAGCAACTGCTGTCGAAAATACGAGATCAACACGAGCGTCAAGTAAATCACCGTCGAGACGTTCATCAAGAAATCGATCTCCGGCACGTAATGCTTCACCAGCACGCACAAAGTCGTCGGCATCACAACGACGAAGCGGACGAAATAAACTTACAGACAACGATACAGCGTCTGAAACTGATGATTCAAAATCCGAAGTATTGAACAAAGTTAGCATTCGCGTGTCTCCATTAAAATTGGACAAAGAGGGTATTCAAAAGTTGGTATCGAAAGGTCGCAAGACGCCAACATCCAAAGTAGCGAACATATCAAGTGAAGGTGATGACGAAGTGGCCAGTTTAACGGCCAAATATTTGAATAATAAACAAAATGCCGAAAATCCGACACCATCGGATTTGAGCGCGAAACGAAGCTACAGTCGTTCGATCAGCCGCAGTTTAATTGACGAAGAATGGAGTCAATCAGATGGATCGGAAAAGAATGAAGATCCCATTTATGGTGGTCGTATTACACGCAGCCGCAGTAAAACGCAAAATGTATTGTGTCGAGAGCAAAGTCTTGCCAAAGATGCGGCAGCCGAATTTGGTGGCAGCATTGGAGCAACATTTTACATCATTTTACTACCAATTTTATGCTTCTCCGTCCAGGTATGTACATTTTGCATAAATTTTCCGCTTCAATGACCACCAAAAATGGTCATGTTCCAAACAATAAATTATGAAGAATAGTCAATAATTTTGAAATATTTTCGTTTTGCTTTTGTTTTATTTTCATTTGTTTTCTGTGCACAGTATGTTTGCAGCAGGCCTGAATGCAACATTAAAGCCGTACGCCCTGAAAAACTTAAACTTTTTTCAAGCTACTTCACTCTTGAAAGTAGCTACATCTACATAGCATTCGCGTGGCTTGTATACTTGGTGTCATTGGTTCCATATCTTGGAGTCAAGCGTCAATTGGCCCAAACAACATCGTCCAAAGATAATGTTGCACCACGGTATTTCAATGGATTTTCAACTGCAGTTGCTATCGTTGCTGGTTTATCGATTGCTGAGTACTATTTCAAATATCCCGTATTTGCTTTAATTTACCGGAACTATCAGCAATTATGCTTCGCTGGATTCGTCTATGCTTTTGTCACTTCGATTTGGTGTTTCTTCCGTTCGAAATACGTTCCAGTCACATTATGGAATCCATTTGCAAAATCTGGTCGCTTGGTTAGCGATCTGTTCATTGGTCGTGAAGTCACTCCACGCTGGTTGAACGTGCTCGACGTCAAATTGCTTCATCGTCGCATTGCTCTTATCTCAGCGTTGATCTTTAATTTGATTTTCCTCAGCCGAAATATCAAATTTGTTTCAGTTCCATCCATCGAAGCACCATTAACTAACCTCGAAATTGTCGCTCAATTCCTTCAAAGCTTTAAATTCGATGCAGTATCGGCTACTGTTTCTCTATTGACCATTGCTAATATTCTCGATGCACTTGTGTTCGAATATCAATTGATCAGCTCATATGAATTGCAAAGTGAAGGTTGTGGCGCTCAATTTTTACTGCATTACGCTGGTTTTCCTGTATGGACATCATTATTCGCTAAATACGCTTTGCAACATAAGATTACCGGAGTTCCAAACTGGCTTTTGGTTTTGATTAGCATCGTTTATCTTGCTGGGTTGATTTTCAAACGACTTGCCAATGAATTGAAATACCATTACCGTGTCTACCCAAGCAGCACCCGTTCATCAAGTAAGTCCTTTTTCAAAAAAAAAAAAAAAAAAATTGGGGAGAAAAACACATTAAGAACTAAAATTCCGTTTCTACCTTTTAGACTTGAAAACATTGCCAACATTCCAAGGACATCGCCTTTTGATCGCCAGATATTGGTCATACATTCGTCATCCCAACTTATTGGGCGATATTATTTCGGTCATTTCATTGCTACCGTTGCTGTATTTCCGATTTGCCTGGTCACCGCTTGTTGTCGCTTTCTACTGGATTGCGGTGTATGTTCACCGAGCAAGTCGTATCGATAATCGTATGGCACAATACTACAACTCAGCCTGGACACGGTACCGTGCCACAGTACCTAATTCATTCATTCCCCGTGTTTATTAGATAGTGAGATTCAATGCAATTGTCCAAAAATATCACATTTATTTCATTTTTCTTTTTCATCTAAACACACATTAAGCGAAAACTAACAAGAGGAGAACTATAACACTCTTGTTATAGAAATATACAAACACAAAAGCACAATACTTTTTCATAAAAAAAACAAGAAAAATAGCATACAAAAAAAAATCAAAAAATAATATTAAAAAACAAGACAAAAAACAAAACCATTTCATGTAGAATAATAATCGCGAAGACTTCACCTTTTTTATATAACAATTTACATTTTTATAAATTGTGTTCATATTCACAAAATCGTAATTTTAATTGGCGACACTGTGTAATAACACCGTGAAATTTGACAAAATGTAAAAAAGCGATAAATTGTAAGAGATTTTTCATTTATATTTAGACATTCGAAACGATCCGATTTTTTTTTGAAAATCAAATTGTTTGATTTAACACTTTAAAATGACATTGGAACAATCGAACGAAATTGTAATAGTTTCGGTTTATTGTAAAAGTACAAAATGTGTAATAGGATTTTTATAAGAGTTTTTTTTTCATAAAACTGTCATGATTTTTTTTTTCATTTCTCGAAAATAACTTAGAATACGTATTGACTGCCCTCATTGATTAATTTAAAGAAAAAATTCAATTGAATTTCCACCGCTGATTCGCAATCGGATCGATTTACATAGTAGAGATTCGGATGAGATTTTCCAAAAAAATAACATCCTTTTTTTTAAACAAAAAAAATATTTTTTTTCCACTCTTTCTTTTGTATAATTTTTCTTCAACATAGATTTGGTTTCAAAGTGTCTAAACAAGTGAAATTTTTGGAGAAAAATAAAAAGAGTCATAGAAAATCAAATCACGGATCTAGAGTAGAATAAAATGATTAAATGAATTTAAAAAAAATATATATTAGTATAAAAACAAATGAATCCAAATGAAGTCAATTGAATTGTGTTTGAAAATTAACAATCACATGTAAAAAAAAGATAGTGACTTTTAGTACATAGATGCACTTTCTCAATCAATTTGCAATTCAACTCAAATAGTTTTAATTTGTATTCAGTAGATTCTTTGATTTTTGTCAATTATTTTTTAATAAAGAGAATTCAAGGGAGAAATATTTTTTTGTTTTTTGTATATACAGTACAACTGAACATAATGGTAAAATATTGTTTCAAGGTGTGCGTCAATAGCATAAATGCTGCTAAATTTAAATAAAAATGCTCCACATATCAATGTTAGTGGACTGACACTACAGCAGTAGTAGACAAAAACCGAGCATGTATTACATACACATTTAGCGGCTCTTGCAATAAACAATGCACGATCGACATGAAGGTAAGAGAAAGGCGCATATGCTTGTGAGTAGTGCTTATACACTTCGACGTGTGTCTCTTGTGTTAGTACGGCTCTTTTCTTTTGGGCTGTTTTGTTCATTTTTGCTTCTCATTCGATTCGCTTTTGGTGTTTCTATGTTTATTTCAATGGTTCTTACTTGAATGTGAATTCGAATGTACGAATCCGTTTCCACACACTATTATCAAAGCCGAAGAAACAGAAAAAACAACAATCGCGGCTACCAGCTTATTACCACCAACACATTTGAATCCAAAACTCGAATCAAACCGAATGAAAGAGAGAGACACACATACAAACACAGGCCCCAAACGCATACGATCACACACACACCAAATTCCCCGTATTACGTATGCTTCTGTGAGCACCGTGTTGTCTTCGATTCGTACAGCATTCGCGCGAATTGGTAAAAACCAACAATTTTAGTTTCACTTGTGAAGGCATCGAATGTAAGTATAACGCACGATCGATACGACATTTATTTTTTATTTACATTTTTTTTTTCGATGGTTTTACTTCATCTGATTACTCAAGAATACTGTTTCGCATAAAGACAATTTAAAAGTGTACAAGTGAAGAAGATAACTGAAAGTGCTTTTTAAACCAAACCTAATTGATTGTCGAATGAATCGTTCATTCACTCGTAAATAACATAAAACAATCACAATTTGATCTATATAAGTTATGTGCATGCTTTAAAAAAACGCATTATTTGCGTTACATCGCCGAATTCAATGGATTATATAAAAACGAAATGTCAAAATAAATCCAGTTGATCGATTTATCAAAAAAAAAAAAAAAAAAAAAAAATCGTGAATGGATTCGTAACCATATATAACTGAATATCCAAATAATGGTCAACGAAGTGCGTTATTAAACAGTGTGCTTTTGTTTTTAAGTTAAGGCGAACGAAACAAAAACCGAACCAAAAAAAAAATAATAATAACGACTATCAAGTTCGCGAGTATTATTGCACAATATGATTACAAGCGTAGCAATATTGAAATTCCACAACAAAAATCACATGCCAGTAGTAATTGGTGGTTAAAATTTTTGTGTGCGCACCATGTCTTGCATTACAAGAAACACAAAAATTTCGACTCAAGAATCATTTTTGACTTGAACAAATTGGTTTTCCCGCCCCGTGCGTGGTGATTCAGTTCTTATTGTGCTGATACATTCGTGGGATTAGATTTGTGCGGCCATTGGCATTGAATGAAAACGGATGAATGTACCAAACCGCCAATTTACCTTGTTCTCCAAAATTGTTGCTCTTTTTTGAATAATTCCGCTTCTGAATCATGCTATCGCTATTTCTATATGGCCTGTATTCAAAAGTGTCGTGATGATTTCTTTTTTTTTCGAGCATTGCATCGAAAACGAAGCGCACAATTGAAATAAACAAACGAAAAAAATAAGCGAATAAGAAAATGTGTTACATAGATGAAATAGTCGATGCGTGATCCGTATATTTAATTAGGAACGCAAGTACTGTAGTATATTTTCGCTTATCAATCGGCGAATAATAGACCGTTTTGTTCGCCAAAGGCTGGAAAGCAGCTGGGTGTAGCCATTTCGACACATTAGAAAATTAAAATGAAATGTACAAAAAAAACGTACAGAAAAAACAACAACTAAACACTAATCTATCAACGTAACAATAAATGTTTGCACGCGCCTGAAAAATAATTACAACAGAGAAAGAGAGTGATAGAGGAGAGAGAGAGAGAGAGTGAGGGAGATAGTAAAAAAAGAAGTCCAAATGAAATCAATTCGATGTGCCATAAATTTACTTAGAGATTGTTTTGTTACTTCTTTTTTTCGCATACTGCACCATTTTTTGATTTTCGCCACCAATGAATTGCACCAATGGTCAAAATAAAGCAAAATAAAAAAAGCATATCTGGATTTGCATTAAGCTTGAGTGGCATGTATAAATCTGCACATTTTACACCAATTCACGTATTACCGAAGCGCAAATAAATCACGGCGCTGAGACAAATATTTCGGCGGGTACTTCGTTCATTCACTCATTAAAGTCTTTTTTAGCGTTCAATAACACTGCGTGTGTGTACAAATCTCAACGTCAATTCGTTTCGTAGTGGATTTCGTTGGTTTTTTTCGTTCAATCTCTCTCTCTCGTTTATTTCAGAATGGTATTTCACGAAAGTCATATGAAACTATGCTCGGTGAGCGAATGAAAAATAAGATCGACAACGATCATACGTTCGTACGATTGAGTGAGTGAGTGGTCGATCAGCACGTAATTTCAAGTGAATTTTTTTCTGTTCCATTTTCAATCGCAACAACTTTTTTTTTGTGTTTCAGCTAATGTGAACGAAACCAAACGAAAGACGAGCGAAAAACAACAAAAATCCGTCGACATTTAACCAACACAGGTCACTCAAATAAACAGTATGTTTTCATTCATGCATGTTTTGCATAAATAAACTCTGACATAGAAATAGTTGAAGGTGTGTGCGAGATCATGTTATAGACCATAAATATTCGTTTAAATGTCAATCGTTTAATGCCGCCATTCAAATGTTCCCACATTCAAGTCTGAGAGTGCACAAAAAGCGACTGGCTTACCAACCAGCCGAATTAAATTATCAGACACCATGAAATGAGAAAAATCAACATTAAAGGGGAAGAAATCATCTTGTTTCGTCTTTCTTTACATCGGTGCGAGAAACAATTCTCTATCGTGTGCTGAATTGCATTCGATGATGCTTCATTTCTGAATAAATTCCACCGCATGGATTAAGTCATTTGTTGTGCTATTCACTATTGCTGTGTGTGTGTGTTGTGTCGCAAATAAAAGTCAATACAACCACTTCTAATCCCGTTTTAAAACTAGCAAAGCGTTCCATTCCATTTTGTTTGCTCGTTCGATCGTTCAGACAAGTAAACCATTTTACTTGTCTTACATTGAACGATACAAAGCGTATACATTCAATTACATTTTCACAACAATTAGTTAGCGTGCAAATGAAGTAACACGAACATAAAACATTCTTAATTTACCCTTTCATTGCCTATTTTACGATTTAATGAAAGGCGAACATGAAATTGGTCGCATTCTTATCGTTTTCTATTTCGTTGATTGTAGATTTTGGCGAAAGTCTGCATGTACAAATCAAGTGTATTTATCGATGATATTCGAAATTAAGAGTTTTTTTTGTTTTATTTAGTTTGTTTTTATATCAAATACAAAGACATTTTGCCCTAGTTTTATCGCGAAGAATTTCGAGAAGAAAAAAAAATCCAAAGCAATTTGTTTGCTGATACTTTCAATGCACCGGCGCTTGCATTTCACGAATATAAGTGCTCGCGTTGGAAAATCGGTGTTATTTTTAAAGTTTTTTTTTTTGGTTTTTTGTTTTGTTTTGTAAACGAGTGTTTTATTTCAGTCATCGAGAAACAGATTTTGAATGGGGTATCAAAAATGAATGGTACCAAAGCTAAGCCTTAAATGAGCGAAACGGAATACAACGAGGAAATAGAAAGGCTGAAAAAACCTGTTAATAACAATAACAGAATAGAAAAGAAAAAGAAGAAAAAAAGACACACACACAATATTTTTTCTCAAAGACTATTCAATGACAATATCTAAAGTGTTTATCAAGTTTTGGACGTGAATTTATGAGAATCAACTGAAAGTGAAAGAGAGTTGTGCGTATGCCGACGAACAAACGACATCACCGAAAGAATTGGGTAAAATTGTGATAATGGCTATGCTGATAAAATCAAAAGTGCACACCGTCATTTTCTCAATTATCCTAATTGTATTGGAGAACTGGGGAACAGCCAACGCACAACAACAACCATCATCGCAACAACAGCTTCAACAAACAAAAGGTAAGATTATAGGCTTAAATGATACGCTTTTAATCCTATTACAATCATAACTTATGCAAAACATGCAGTTCGCACATTTTTTTTTCTCAATCAAAAACCAATTTATTTTTTCGCTTCATTCACTTTCATTTGCTGTACAATCATAAAAGACAAAGCCAAGAAAAAAAAACATTTTGAACTATATTATTTTACGAAATACGCATACTTTTACGTGCTTAGTATTATTTACGAAATACAAAAAAAAACATTTTTTTTAAAAGAAAAAATAGAAATAATATAAGATCAACGCGAGGTGCGTACACGGTTTGAGAACAAATTGGATGGAAAAATTCTCAAAGTTTCGAAGTCATATGTATTGTTGCATTGAATGGTTTTCTGAGAAAAAAGAAAGAAAGAGAAACAAACAAACAAACAAACGAATAGCAATTTCGAATGAATGCATCAAAAACACATTGCAATCGGCTTTGTGAATTGATGTTGTAACCGATTTCAGTTGAAAAACTGAATGAAACAAGAAAAAAAATGCAAATATCTTTGCAAATCATCTAAAGAAACCGCTTAAAAAGATTAAATTCGAACAAATGCCGCCAATTTCTTTTCTAGATTGTTCCGATATTCTTTGTTCGTCGGTGAATTTGCATTGTCGTTGACAATTCGCATTTTATCATCTTCGCTGCTAGATTTCTATTTCTTTTTTTGTCGCTTTTCTTTGTCCCAAGAAATTCGAAATGTTTCAAAGACTTTGTTTCACCATTTCAATTGTATCTCGAACAAAGTAAATGTAATACACAATTGGCGGATTTGGTTGATATCAATACGATGGCTAGCGATGAAATGAATATAAATATTTTGTCTTTATCTAAACTTCTGAAATGAGTATGTGTTTCGTTGCTGTTTTTTGTAACCGTATACAATTTTGAATTTATGGCAAACAATAGGCAAAGATATGTTTCATCTATACAAAAAAAAAATAGCATAAGCAACAGCAAAAGAGAAAAGAAAAACAAATATACGAGGTAAACATAACCAATCGGAATTTCATTTAGTAAAATATTAAAGGATTGCAACGAAAACAAAGCTCATGATTAAGTAAGTAGACCGAATAAGTAGACAGCGTAATTGAATTTGGTTCTCACTCGCGCTTGGCTCAATCGCATGCTTACGCGCATACTTTTCTGGTTGCACATTCCGGATCGCGCGAGATGGCTGTTGCAGCAGCAGCAGCAGTACAAAGACTTTTCAACCGAGCCCAAAGCAAATGCTTGCAAATGCTTACAAAATGTGCGCTGTAAGGAATGTGATTAAAAGAATTTCGCACACAAAGAGAGAAATAAATGAGCAATGGAGTCAAAGCTCTTGGCTCCAAAGATTGATACGCGTGTAGGTGTCAATGTTTACATGCGCACATGTATATATTGAATAATATATTTTGGTTGTTTTTTTCCACCACCTTCTTCTTCTTTTTTTTCTGTTCGTACTTGTTCGCACCATGACTTCATGTGCGGTTTGGGTATTTTTTTTTTAATTCGAAACAAGAAAAGTTTAATGTGCTCTTGTGCACGCAGCAAACATTCGCAGTACGTTTTTTTTCCATTTTGTGGCCATAGTGCATTTGACAAATGCTCCGTAAACAAAGAGCCGTAGTTGAAGTTTGTATTGTGGGCGTCCTATAAAAAAAAAA